GCGACAGCTCTGTCTCAAAAAAAAAAAAACAAAAAGTAACTTTTCCTTAAAAGTCACATTCTCAAAATATAGATCACTGACTAGGAAAGAAGCAAAACAAGTAGCACAGAAAACAAAGGCCAGGTATAGTAGCTCACACCTGTAATTCTAGCTCTTTGGGAGGCGGAGGCGGGAACATCATTGCTTCAGCCCCAGAGTTTGAGACTGCAGTGAGCTGTGATGAGACCACTGCCCTCCACCCTGGGCAACATTATTATAAAAATAATGTCGGAGTGCCCCCCAAGCAGACTTTAACAGCCTTATAAATATGTACATTATTATAATGCTAACAATACACACACAAAAAAAACTTTTTTCTAAATATTGTGTAATAAAATCATTTATACCAAGTCCAGATCTGCATCAATCTCTTCAGCCTGAAAAGGAGTAAACCACATAGATTTCAACTGATCATCCATTACATCAGCTAGCACATATGCAGTCCTAGAATAAAAAAAGTATTTGGTGAAAAGCAGAATTCCAAAATCAAATATTTTAGCTTATCTTCAAGTATACCTATGGAAGGCATAATTAAAACATAACCCTCCAAGGATCAGGCATGGTGCTCACACCTATAATCTTTGTACTCTGGGAGGCCACAGTGGGCAATTCACTTGCGTTCAGTTCAAGAATATAGCCTGAGCAAGAGTGAGATCCATTTCTACTAAAAGTAGAAAAATTAGCTGGGTGTCATGATAGGGACCTGTAGTCCCAACTACTTGGGAGGCTCAGGCAGGAAGACTACTTGAGCCCAGAAGATGAAAGTTACAGTGAGCTATGATTTTAACACTTAACTCTACATCGGATGATGGAGTGAGATTCTATCTCCAAATAAATAAAAAAATAAGGGGCAGTGCCTGTGGCTCAAAGGAGTTAGGGCGCTGGCCCCATATGCCAGAGGTGGCAGGTTGAAACCCAGCCCTGGCCAAAAACTGCACAAATAAATAAATAAATAAAAAGAAAAACCCCAAACCTCAAAAGTGTTTCGGGATTAAATATCCTTAAAAAGCAGTATCTTGGAAACTAATGCTACTATGTCAAATTCTGAACTTTCTGAATCAAAACTCTGATTTTATTTCCTAAGGCAAGTTTATTGTGCTATACCAGTTTGTATAGAAATTGCTGATATGTAATTTTTCTTAGTACAGAGACTAATTCTATCATATTGAATGATCATTATGGTTATAGTGCCTCAAAGATTAAGAGGTACATATCTTTTGGATCAGGGATCAGTAAACTATCGCCCATTTTGCAACGTCTGTTGTTATATAGCCCACAAAGCTGTGAATGGTTTGTATATTTTAATAAATGTAAAACTACAGAAGAATATGCAATAGAGGTCTGCAGAGCCTAGAATTTTTTTTTTTTTTTTAGAGACAGAGTCTCACTTTATCACCCTTGGTAGAGTGCCGTAGCGGCATAGTTCACACCAACCTCTGGCTCTTGGGCTTAGGTGATTCTCTTGACTCAGCCTCCTGAGCAGCTGGGACTACAGGCACCCACCACAATACCCTGCTATTTTTTTGTTGCAGTTTGGCCAGGGCCAGGTTTGAACCCACTATCCTTGGTACATGGGGCTGGAGCCCTATTCACTGAGCCACAGGCACCGCCCAGAGCCTAGAATTTTTACTATTTGACTCTTTTTTGTTTGTTTGTTTGTTTGTTTTTGTATTTTTTTTTTGAGATGGAGCCTCAAGCTATCCCCTTGGGTAGAGTGCCATGGCATCACAGCTCAAAGCAACCTCCAACTCCTGGGCTCAAGCGAGTCTCCTGCCTCAGCCTCCCAAGTAGCTGGGACCACAGGCGCCCGCCACAATGCCTGGCCATTCTTTGGTTGCAGCCGTCATTGTTGTTTGGTGGGTCCCAGCTGGGGATACGAACCCGCCACCTTGAGTGTATGTGGCTGGCGCCTTAGCCGCTTGAGCCACAGGCGCCGAGCCACTATTTGACTCTTTATAGAAAAAAAGTTTACTGACCCTCTCTACACTGTAGACATTATGTAAACAATATCTACTCAATCATAAAACATGCTTGTTTTACCTATTATTAAACAGATTCTGGAGAGATTCTGGAGCTGAAAGTACTGGCTCTATATCCTGGTCACTGAGAGGTAAAGGATCACCTGACGACTCCAGCATCTGCTTAAGTCCAACTACATTGTCCAACAAGGAATCCAGATTATCATCATCTTTTGAATGTTCCTAGATACAAATAAATGCAGAATAAGAAGGTGCAAGTAAAACTGGAACACTTATGCCCATAATCTATTGATACTTTAGTAGAAAAGACTATGTTATTTCATTCATATTAGATATGGAACATTATCCAGAAATTATCAACATATAAACTTATTAAAATAAAACAAACACCAAAACACTTGTCATTTTATTTCTAAACACAGCAGCAGGGGGCACCATGCATCCAAAGAAGAGACAATTCAGAAAGCTTTCCTTTATGCTTTAAGATTCATAACCCATGGAAGGCTCCCAACTATTAACTCAATGGGTTATCTGAAATGCTAAAAATATCTAGATAAGGATTCACTATTTTTACAAAGGTCACTATGAAATACTTGCACTAGTCAAACTAAGAAGAAAATATGTCTCAGGAATGCTCTAGTTTTTTTGACTTTTTTACCAAAACAAGCTTCTCTAGTTCAAGGATCAAATTTTCTGAACTTTCTTCTTTGCTTTGTAGAAGCTGTTTTAATTCTGCAGCATTAATACTCATCGTCCGTGTTGGATGAGCTCCCTCTATTTCCATGAGACCACTATCATCTCCACAACATCCCTGTAAATGTCACACACAAATTAATTTAAGAGCAGAGAAATTTGCACAAAAGCTTCTAAACATTCAGATATTTAAGCCATATGGTACAATCTTTCCTTCAATGTTTTGGTTTTCTATCAGTAGAAATGGTAGTTTTAAGCAGGATTTAGTTCAAAGAGGAAGTAAGCTTTCTTTAAATAAGACTCACAAAATAAATAGGTAAACACATATATTTAATTTACTGGCACTAAGATTTCTCAACAAAAAAATCCAATGGGGCAGTGCCTGTGGCTCAAAGGAGTAGGGTGCCAGCCCCATATACCAGAGGTGGTGGGTTCAAACCTGGCCCTGGCCAAAAAAAATTCCAGTAGCAGGCGGCGCCTATAGCTCAGTGGGCAGGGTGCCAGCCACATACACCAAGGGTGGCAGGTTCAAATCGAGCCAGGGCCAGCTAAAACAACGACAACTGCAACAACAAAAAAAACAGCCAGGTATTGTGGTGGGCACCTCTAGTCCCAGCTACTTGGGAGGCTGAGGGAAGAGAATTGCTTAAGCCCAAGAGTTTGAGGTTGCTGTGAGCTGTGATGCCACAACACTACCAAGGGGGAGAGCTTGAGACTCTGTCTCAAAAAAAAAAAAAAAAAACATGGCAAATAACACTGGCACATTGGCACATGCAGGACATGTAACACAGATTGACGCTTAAGCGTTAATTAAATGCCTGCTATAACAAAGAACTGACAAAACCTGAAGATAAGGCAAACAACCATTTTCTGCTTTTAACAAGTATGCTACATAACAGAATGAATTATAGAGTTCAATACAAGAAAACAATACAGCAAGATAAATCTTGGTTCATATTATTAAACCCATTGATATGGTCACACATGAAAGAATACTCCCTTATGGGGCGGTGCCTGGGGCTCAGTGAGTAGGGCACCGGCCCCATATACCAAGGGTGACGGGTTCAAACCCGGCTCCGGCCAAACTGCAACAAAAAAATAGACAGGCACTGTGGCAGGTGCTTGTAGTCCCAGCTACTTGGGAGGCTAAGGCAAGAGAATCCCTCAAACCCAGGAGTTGGAGGTTGCTGTGAGCTATGATGTTACAGCACTCTACCCAGGGCAATAAAGTAAAACTCTGTCTCTAAAAAAACAACCCAAAAAAGAATACTTCCTTATGGTAGAGAGTCAAGTTTCAAATCTTTAGAACACAGACCTGCTTCTAAGGAGTAAGAATAAAAAATAAACATATACACACCAATCTAGTAAATGTGCTACCTAAGCCCATACACATGAATCTAGATGCAGAATTTTTTTTTTTTGAGACAGAGTCTTGGTAGAGTTCCGTGGTGTTATAGCTCACAGCAACCTCAAACTTTTGGGCTTAAGCTATTCTCTTGCCTCAGCCTCCTAAGTAGCCTCCTAAGTAGCTGGACTATAGGCATCAACCACAACACTCAGCTATTTTTGGGTTGCAGTTGTCAATTGTTGTTTAGCTGGCCCAGGCTGGGTTCAAGCCCACCGGCCTGGGTGTATGTGGCTGGTGCCCTACCCACTGAGCAAAAGACACCACTCTAGATGCAGAATTTTTATTTTAAGATGGGGATAAACACCGGATGCAGTGGTTCACACCTGTAATCCCAGCACTCTAGGAGGCTGAGGCGGGCAGATTGCATGAGCTCAGGAGTTCCAGACTAGCCTGAGTAAAAGTGAGACCCTGTCAATAAAAATAACCAGGCACTGTGGCAGACACCTGTAGTCCCAGCAACTCGGGAGGCTAAGGCAAGAGAAAGTTGAGGTTGCTGTGAGCCATGACACCACAACACTCAACCCCAGGGCAACTGAATGAGACTTTCAAAAAAAAGATGGGGATAAACAATTAAAATTTTGTTTGGAGTTCATACCATTTGTCCTATAACTGAACAGCTATCAATGAAGGGTAAATGAAAATTATTCTTAACAAAATCCCACTCAAACTGCCATTGTATGTGAAGTACACTCCTTTCAGAAAACACTAGACTGAGGAAGTGATTTACATTGTGTTAAGGAGGAGGAAATATAACTTTAATGAGAAATCTAATCAATGTTCAGTCTTTAAGGATTTTATTTGCTCCACTGAGAAGTGTGGAGGGGTAGGTTGGTAAGAGATCTAGCCCATGCTTTTTTTTTTTTGAGACAGTCTCACTTTGTCACTCTCTGTAGAGTGCTGTAGCATCATCGCTCACAGCAACCTCTAACTCTTACACTCAAGTGATTCTCTTGCTTTAGCCTCCTGAGTACCTGGTACTATAGGCAGCCGCCACAACACCCAGCTATTTTTAGAGATATGCTCTCGATATGGCTCAGACTGGTCTCAAACCTGTGAGCTCAGGCAATCCACCCACCCTGGCCTCCCAAAGTGGTGTGTTACAGGCATGAGCCATTGCACCTGGCCCTAGCCCATGCTTTATTTTAAAAATAATAATAAAGTTAAAAATAATCAGAGTACACAAGTAAGAACAGATAGTTAAGAGTTCTCTTTAAAGAAACCGTCCCTTAGGCTCGGTGCTTGTGGCTGAAGTGGCTAAGGCGCCAGCCACATACACCTAAGGTGGCGGGTTCGAGTCCAGCCCAGGCCCACCAAACAACAATGATGGCTGCAAACAAAAAATAGCCAGGCGTTGTGGCGGGCGCCTCTGGTCCCAGCTACTTGGGAGGGGGAGGCAGGAGATTCGCTTGAGCCTAGGAGTTGGAGGTTGCTGTGAGCTGTGATGCCACAGCACCCTACTCAAAAAAAAAAAAAAAAAAAAAGAAAGAAAGAAACCATCCTTTAAAGGTTGAAAAAAGGCCAGGTGCAGTGGCTCACACCTATGATCCTAGCACTCTGGGAGGCTGAGGTGGGTGGATTGCTTGAACTCAGGAGTTTGAGACCAGTCTGGGCAAGAGTGAGACCCTGTCTCTAAAAACAGGCAGGCATTGTGTTGAGTGTCTGTAGTCCCAGCCCTCTGGAGCTCAGGCAAGAGAAATCACTTGAACCGAAGAATTTGAGGTTGCTGTGAGCTATGATGCCACAGCACTCTACCTAAGATGACAAAGTAAGACTCTATCTCAATACATACATACATACATAAATGTTGAAAAAATATTACAAGAAAACGATAGGCCAGTATTTCTCATGTAAACAGATGCAAACATTGTCAATAAAATATTAACAACTACCAAACAGCAATTAATAATTCTATTCGCAAAGTGGGATTTATCCCATGTACACAAGGCTGGTTCCACAATCTAAAATCAACTAATGGGCTTGGCCCGATGGCTCACATCTGTAATCCTAGCACTCTGGGAGGCCAAGGCAGGTGGATGGCCTGAGCTCATGTTGCTTAAGCCTGAGCCAGAGTGAGACTCTGTCTCTAAAAATAGCTGGGCATTGTGGAGGGTGGCTATAGTTCCAGCTACTTGGAAGTCTGAAGGAAGAGAATTGCTTGAGCTCAAGAGGGTGACAAAGTGAGACTGTGTCTCAAAAATAAGAAAAAATAAAATAATGTAATCTATCACCATCAAGGCCACACGATCATATTAATACAAGAAAAGTATTTGACAAAAATCTAATATCCAATAATGGTAAAAATACAGCAAACTAGTAATACAGAAAGGAACTTCTTTAACTTGACAAAGAACATATTTAAAAAACCTATAGCTAACATCACTGAATGGTGAAAAAGTAGTTTTCTTGCTAAGATCAGGAACAAGGCAAGATCATTCCCCTATTGGCGCTCTTTTCAACATTGTCCTGAATTTCTAGTTAATTCAGTAAGACAAGGGAAATAAAAGAAAATATGAGGCCAGGTGCAGTGGCTAGCACCTATAATCCTAGCACTCGGGGAAGCCAAGGCAGGTGGATTGCCTAAGCTCATGGGTTCAAGACCAGTCTGAGCCAGAGCAAGACCTCGTCTCTAAAAAAACATAGCCAGGTGTGACTCTTAATGTAAACTATGTACTGACTACATGCCAGTGTGGGTTCATCATCTATAACAAATGTATCACTGTGGTATGAGATGTCAATAGTGGGGGGAGTTGTTCAAGTGAAGGGGCAGGGAACATATGAGAATTCACTGTACTTTCTACTCGATTTTGCTAAGCCTAAATTCCTCTAAAAAAATGTTAAATGTATTTAAAAGAGGGAGTTGGGGGCAGCACCTGTGACTCAAAGGGGTAGGGCGCTGGCCCCATATGCTGGAGGTGGCAGGTTCAAACCCAGCCCTGGTCAAAAACTGCAAAAAAAAAAAAAAAGAGGGACTTGGGAGAGCCAATCAAAGAAGATCAAGGTCACTAAAGTTTATTGACATAAATTTAACGAAGAAAAAAAAAATTATTATTATTTTTTTTTTTTGAGAAAGAGCCTCAACCGGTCCCCCTGGGTAGAGTACCGTGGCA